TGGTATATGTTGATGACTTGGTTATTACAGGTGATAGTAATGAGTTGATTGCTGAATTAAAACAAATGTTGAATAGCCATTTTAAGATGAAGGATTTGGGGGAGCTAAAGTATTTTTTGGGAATCGAGGTATTGAGGTCAAAGGAATGTATACTTTTGAATCAAAGGAAGTATGCACTCCAATTAATCAAGGAAACTGGTTTGGAGAAAGCAAAGTCTGTTGATACTCCTCTAGAGCAGAATTTGAAGCTGACTACTGTAGATTATGATAGAGTTGTGCAGCAGAATAAGGAAGATGAATACAATCAGGTTGGAAAGTCAGTTTACCAAAGGCTTATTGGAAAGTTGATTTACTTGACATATACTAGACCTGGCATTACATATGCAGTAAACCTTCTTAGTCAATTTATGCAGCAACCTAAGAGATTACACATGGAGGCAACCTTAAGAGTAGTAAGGTATATTAAGAAAAAACCAGGACAGGGAGTTTTGTTAAAATCTTCTTCAGGCCATCAAATTTCAGCCTACTGTGATTCAGATTGGGGATCATGTCCAATGTCAAGAAAATCTGTGACAGGGTCCTGTATCAAGATTGGTGACTCACTAGTTTCATGGAAATCAAAGAAACAAAATGTTGTGGCTAGATCTTTAGCAGAAGCAGAATATAGAGCTATGGCAGTGGTTACTTCTGAGTTGGTATGGCTGCAAGGTTTACTTGCAGAGTTTAGTATAAAAGACATGAAACCTGTGAAACTTTATTGTGATAACAAAGCTGCAATTCAGATAGCAGCTAATCCTGTGTATCATGAAAGGACAAAACATATTGAAATCGACTGTCATTTCGTGAGAGAAAAAATACAAGAAGGTTTAATTCAGACAGAACATGTTTTCACACATGAACAGCTTGCAGACATCATGACAAAGGCTTTGGGACATCAAAAACATAGTTATTTGCTATCCAAATTAGGAGTTGAAAATGTTTTTTAGCATCCAACTTGAGGGGGAGTGTTGAGTTTGTAATCTATTTTTTCTGTTATTGATTAGTTAGAAACGGTTTTGAGTTAGTTAAGTTGTTAGATTGAATAGCTGTGTATATATATGCACTGATTGTAAACTTATGGGAGTGTGGAAATAAAACAATTCTTTCATTTCTCATATTACAAGTTTAACAGGACCCTTGGTTCTGGTTCGCAGTTTCGATGTTGTCATGTGGGTGATTTTACATTTAGGTCCTTTGACACGTGGAGTATACTTAAAAATTCATGGATATTTTCTATACATAGCAACCAATATTTATACTAGAATTAGTGCTTACCCTTTTATCCACTTTCATTTCCTAGCAGTTGGATTGTATGTAATTAGGGAATTTCTGCTGTGCGGCGCCTAAAAAAGGTTAAAAATGAAGTGACGTTAAATAAGTGATCGGTTAAAATTTAGACCGATTATGTTATATTATTTAACCGAAAATATTATCAAGTACAATAATATATTAGGTAGCGCTTATATTGACCTATTTTCTAACTAAACATGTATATTTACACCGATAACATTATAAATTTACCTATTACATTATAATTATCGGTTTTGATGTTTTTGGGATTAATACAATTTTAAATGTAACGACACTTTATGCGTGCACCTCGTTGTGCTTTCATTTTGGGAAAAAAAATATTGACACATATTTAAAGAGTGTCAATACATAATGTAAACCTATTTGCTAATTAACCAGTATATTTTTACCGGTTACATTGTAAATTTACCTGTTTCTGAGTTTTTGTTTTTTGAGAAACTGATAACATGGTGGGTTTCCCAATGTTATTCTTTTGTTATTGCAAAATTTTTATTCTTTTCTTACTGGATTTTGCTTAAAATATCCAACTTTTTGTATTAAAAAATAAAAATTCTGAAATAAAAAAGACCACACAGCCCACATGCACACTTTTTTACTACCGGTTTTGTTATTTCGAGATCGATTTTGTCATATTTTTACCTGTTATATTGTTATGGATCGATACATTTTTATAAAGTATCGACACTTTATTGACGCTATAACTTCTTTTCTTTTAAATTCCAAAAGTGTCGATACTTATAATAAAGTATCGACACTTTCAACATATCTGGTAGCTCTTTACCGGTTTTGTCATTTCGAGACCGGTTTTGCCATATTTTTACCTGTTATATTGTTATGGATCGATACATTTTTATAAAGTATCGACACTTTATTAGCGCTATAACTTATTCTCTTTTTAATTCCAAAAGTGTCGATACTTATAATAAAGTATCGACACTATCAACATATCGGGTAGCGCTTTACCTGTTTTGTCATTTATAGACCGGTTTTGTTATTTTTTTACATGTTATATTGTTATGGATCGATACATTTTTATAAAGTATCGACACTTTCAATATATCCGGTAGCACTTTACCTGTTTTGTCATTTATAGACCGGTTTTTTCATTTTTTACCTGTTATATTGTTATGGATTAATATATTTTTATAAAGTATCGACACAAACCGACAAGCTAAGTTTGTCAGTTGTCAAATTTTTTAATATTTTTTCATGATTTCCACCTATTACATTATTATTAATCGATATTTCCGGTAGCGCTAAACCGAATTTATCAAATATCTTTTAATGTATCCGGTAACACCGTATATTAACCGTATATTAGTCTGCATTTCCTGAGACAATCCTATGTAATTGACTATATATATATTGCACCTGTAAGTATCAACTTAAGATTTGTGTCCGGAATTATCATTTTCGATTTTGTTTGGGTGCAGTCTGTGGCTTATAATGCGGCTCCCCTATTTGCAATTGCTGTAATATGGTTTGTTGGCTTTAGTATCTGCTTATTGCTGATTCTAATATTTTATTTCTGCTGTAAAAGGCGACCGAATGGATATTCCCGAATTGCTTATGCAATCTCTTTCATCTTCCTTGTGTTGTTCACAGTTGCTACAATGTAAATGCATCTTTATCTCGTGTCATTTTCATGTTGAAAATTAAGGGCATCCTAGTTCCTAAAGCTTAATGTTTTGTGCTTTGGTTTCAGGCTTAGTTGCATTGCACTGTATGTTGGTCAGGAGAGGTTCCATAGTAGCACTACTAAAACATTTCAATTTGTTGTAAATCAAGCAGATGTGACTGTCAGGAAACTGAAGGATGTGTCCGACTCTCTTACAACAGCTAAGCAGGTCGGAGTTGATAAAGTATTTCTACCTTCTAATGTCCAAACAGCTAAGCAGGTCATAACCAACGTTTCAAACATCAATTTTTCTCCAAACTTTCCGACCATGTACTTCAGTCAATCAGGTCCATTGGTGCCAGTACTACAATCCCTTCTTTGGCGACCTTACCGAGTGAATCTGCACACCTGGTGAAGTGAATGCAGATAATGCAACCGAGGTAATTAAATTCATTGGACCCTGCAACATCCATGCATTATTAACCTGCAAACAATCTTTGGGACGTTTATGTAATTTAAAGAAGATATTATGATATACTACAGGTATGAAGGAATTATGTCTGTCAGGTTTCTGCAACGGAAATATGCATCACGACTGGACGAATAACTCCGGCCTTGTACGACCAAATGACAGCAGCCGTAAATGTAGGCTCGGCATTGTACAATTATGCTCCATTGCTGCTTCAGTTACAAGACTGCACATTTGCGAGGGAAACTTTTACAGGCGTTTATGTAGAACACTGCCCTGGTCTACGTGGATATAGCAGATGGATTTATACAGGGCTGATAATGGTCTCAACTGCAGTTATACTTTCTTTAATCTTCTGGGTAATATATGCCGCGGGGCGGATCTATGTGGCCCACGAGGTAGCAGTTGCATACCCATTTTCCTTACAACAAATACCAACACTTAATATACTATATTAAAACTTAAAAATTTTGCACACCTTTTTTTTTTTTGACTTTTCTACATCTTTGTAGTTGAAATTTGTGCTCTTTTCTGCATACTTTATTTTGTAGTTGAAATTTGTGCTCGTAAACTGTTAATCTGTTCTATATTTTCAATTAAAAAACTAATTAAAATAATATATATCATTTCAAAACCTTTTATTTCAGCTATTACTAATTTTGTTTGCGTTCAAACCCACAGACTCCAACCCAATGCTACTCAATTCTCATTTCTCAGTCTTTTGTTTGTGTCTAAACCACCCGCCATGACGTCGTTTACCGGCGATTTTTTGGTGAACTTTCTTAATCAAGTCGACGGTAAGTTGTTGCTCATTTATTTTGAATCCCATTTTTTAATTTCTAGATCGGTCATTATACGGGAGAGAGAGACGCCATCGCCTTTACGCGAAGCATACAAGTGAGGGTCCTGAAACAGACAAAGACTCCTGAAAAAGGTGGTTTTCATTGAGTGTATGTTCGTAACCAACCCTCGCCATTAATGAAAGAATCCAGGTTCGTTAAGTGGTGGGTGTTTTTTTTTTTACTTTCGATTTTGCTATTGAGCCGAGCTGCGGGTACTAGAATATGGTGGCCCTCTATTCCTGGACAGTTGGATTTCACGTGTGGGAGAATTGTAATAACGTGGTGTAATGTTAAAAGATTTGCATAATCAGATGGAAGGATTTGTATTGGTTTTTATTATATAATTATTAGTATTTGTTCTTTATTTTTTTTACAATTAATTCAACTAATTCAAAAAAAAAATTTAACACGATTAGACTTGATTGGTAAATATAACCGGTATGAATAATATGGGCTTGGATTTATTTGAGAAAGTGAGCTGCCTAGACCAATGGCCCCTTCCAAAATGAAAACAAAACCAAGCCTGTATACAACAATATTCAAAGTCGTTAAAACAAAACTAAAATGTTCATAGTTGGTTGACTAAAGCGGCATATATTATTGCTGGCAAACTAACGTTGACCTTATGTCTTGGCGCCGAAACCCTAATCCGACAAAGAGAAAAACCAAGAATAAATATGAAAAATAATAAGAATTTTTTGTCATCTCATTTTCCCTTTTAGCCATTCATAGAACGACGGAATATAGAATATTGCCCTGTTATATATCAAGTTCCGTATAGTTACTGTTCTATTCCTTTTGTCAGATTGCTTTTCTTTCTTCATCTTTTCGTTTGGGGATTCCCTCAATCCAAGAGAATGGGGAAGCCAGCGGGGAAGAAGAAGTTTCAAGAGACAGGCAAGAAAGTCATGGAAGCCAACAAGCAGAACAAGGCCGCCGCCGGTCCTACTTCCAAGGCGTTCGACGAGGACACGGCGATCTTCATCAACATGTCTCAAGACCTCAAAGAAGAAGGTAACCGACTCTTCCTGAAACGGGACCATGAAGGCGCGATGTTAAAGTACGAAAAAGCCCTTAACCTTCTCCCTAAGAACCATATCGATGTCGCTTATTTGCGCAGCAACATGGCTGCTTGCTATATGCATTTGGGTCTCGGTGAGTACCCTCGCGCCATCAGTGAATGTAATTTGGCTTTAGAGGTTTCTCCGAAATACAGCAAAGCTTTGTTGAGAAGAGCTAGATGTTATGAAGCTTTGAATAGACTGGATTTAGCTTGTAGGGATGTTTATAATGTTTTAACTATTGAACCCAATAATTCGTCTGCTTTGGAGCTTTTAGACAGTGTTAAAAAGGCTATGGATGAGAAGGGTATTACTGTTAATGAAAATGAACTTGGTTTGTTTGATAATGAGCTTTCTGGGGCTACACGGTTGCGAAAAGTGGTGAAAGAGAAGTTGAAGAACAAGAAAAACAAAGGAAAGAGTGTTGAGATAAACAAAAAGACTGCTTATAATGTTACAGAAGAGAAGGCGGTGGAGAAGAAGGTTAGCCTTGCCAACGAGGTCAAAGATGAAGAGGTTGTTGTGAAGACTGTTCAGCAAGAGAAGAAGGCTGTTGAGGAACAAAAGGCGATTACAAAGACGGTGAAGTTGGTGTTGGGGGATGATATTAGGTGGGCGCAATTACCTGTGAATTGTACTATTCAGTTGGTGAGGAATATTATTCGAGATAGGTTTCCAGGGCTGCAGGGTGTTCTTGTGAAATACATGGATCCAGAGGGTGATTTAGTTACAATTACTTCAACATATGATCTTAGGTTAGCCGAAACATTTGGTGGTGTATCTGGAGGATCGCTTAGATTCTATATTGTTGAAGTTAGTCCAGACCAGGAACCAACTTATGAAGGCGTAAGTAAAGATGATGTGGTTAAGAGGGGAGAGAAATTGAATGATGTTGTTGAGAATGGTGAAGCTATAAAGGGAACATGCATGGAGGATTGGATTGTCCAGTTCGCACTACTTTTTAAGAACCATGTTGGGTTTGATTCTGATTCGTACTTGGATCTTCATGAACTTGGGATGAAATTATATTCAGAAGCAATGTCAGATGCTGTGACAAGTGAAGACGCACTGGAGCTGTTTGAAATTGCTGCAGATAAGTTCCAAGAGATGGCTGCTCTTGCATTGTTCAACTGGGGAAATGTTCACATGACCAGGGCAAGGAAGCATGTCAGGTTAACAGAAGATGGTTCAAGGGAATCTATGCTCGCCCAGGTTAAGATTGCGTATGAGTGGGCACAGAAAGAATATGTATTGGCAGCGGAGAGGTATGAGGAAGCATTGAAAATTAAACCAGATTTTCATGAAGGTCTTCTTGCATTGGGGCAACAGCAGTTTGAGCAAGCCAAACTCTGTTGGTACCATGCAAATGCTTGCAAGATTGATTTAGAGAACGGGCCTTCAGAAGAGGTCTTGAGGCTTTTTAACAAGGCGGAGGACAGCATGGAGAAGGGCATGCAGATTTGGGAGGAAACAGAGGAGCAACGGCTAAATGGACTCTCTAAATTTGATAAGTATAAGACCCAGTTGCAGAAAATGGGGCTAGATGGTTTGTTTAAAGTTGTCTCCCCTGAAGAAGCTGCTGAGCAGGCTGCAAACATGAGTTCACTGATATACCTGTTATGGGGCACCTTACTTTATGAACGTTCTGTTGTGGAATACAAGATTGGGTTGCCAACTTGGGAAGAATGTTTGGAGGTTGCAGTTGAGAAATTTGAACTTGCTGGAGCTTCTCCTACAGATCTAGCTGTTATGATTAAGAACCACTGTTCGAACCAGAACGCTTCAGAAGGTATCTACAAAGAGTCCTCTGTAAATTTCAATTGTCTTCTTGTTAGGAAAATTTGTTTATGTGGAAATTTTGTCCCAATTTTATTGCAGGTTTAGGTTTTAAAATAGACGAGATTATACAGGCATGGAATGAGATGTATGACGTAAAAAGGTGGCAGACTGGTGTTCCATCATTCCGGTTAGAGCCATTGTTCCGCCGTGGGGCTCCAAATCTTCTTTCTATCTTGGAGCATCTTTAAATTTTCTGTTGATTTGGCATTCTTTTGGGGCATTAAACAAGTGCTTCAGTTCCATTTAATTCATTTTCCAAGATCAATGTTTGTGTGCTACTAAGATAGGTAAAACTTACTACTCATCGGCTTCCTTTATCTGCAATTACCATGATGACCTTTTATCATATAACTGTTAATCATTTTTCGGTGTGATCTATGTATCCATAAAATAGGGACTCTTTTTAGCATCGCGTGAATGAAAAATAGTTTTCTTCAATCATAATTTGGTTCTGAAGGGGTTCCAGATTCCAGTTAATCGCTTAGCCTATTCTTCTTTTCCCTTGATTATGTGGCCGTGTATCTTGTTTGCTTTTCAATCCATGTGTTACTGAAGATGACTTATGGTGTTTGATGTTATGTGTTATTGCAGGTCTTATTTTTTGGTCATGGACTGTTTTTGTCTGGCTCGTTGTTTGCTATGGCAGCAAGGAACAAAAGCTTGTGAACTGTGAGTTTGATATTTGAAAGATGCAGTTTTTGACTGGGCATGAAGCCTAGTTCAGTCATTCATTTTTGTCAATTGGAACTATTATTTTTTTCTTTCACACTGCAATTTGTACAGTAATATATGATTTGATTGGTTCTTAATCAACGATCATATAATAACTGTTGGTTGTTGGTTTTTCATATGGACGTGAAGGTCATCATTTGTAGTAGGCTTATTATACAAATTGGCACCTGAAATTGCCAGCTTTTCTCAAATTGGTACTTGAACTTGAAAAAAATTCTTAAATTGAGAAAAACTGTCAAGTTTAGATACCAATTTGGCTAATGAGCCTTTGCAGTAAATTTCTTTTTGTGTGTAGCTTGTGTAACATTTTGATATTCACATTAAAATATCAACCTTGATACGTTTGTTTGTTATACTTCAGATTTCATTTCATCAATTTAGGGGTTGATTCGGGTAAATCATTTTATCAATGCTGTGGTTTTTTTATAGGGTGAGAATTTGCTGCTTTATTTTAAGTTCTTCTGCAGAAATCAAACCGAAATTTGAAGAATCAATTGGATTAAAGGAAATATGAATAAGAAATTAATTAACTTAAAAATAGTTAACTCTTTAGGTTGTATATAATGATTTTTTTTATTTAATCAAGGGGGCTTATAAGGGGTAGTATTTATTCTAAAGATTCTCAACCATCAGCAAAACTAGGAATTTATTATAGCTGGGGTTAAAATATTTTTTATAATTTTTTTTTAAATTGAGGGGTGGAATATTCTTAATATTAATTAATATTTTAAGAAATAATTGGTGAGTGCCCTACGATGTTCCGTCAATAGTATATATCATTTGACAATGAATGTTTAAATACTTTATCGTCGTTAGTGCTCGAACCGAAAGTATTTAAAAAGAATAATCATTTCTTTAATCATTAAAATCACTTAGTTTATGCATGGGGAAAAATGTTTATTAGATCCATGAAATATTAAATTACTTGCTCCAAAAACGTATTAGCATAGATATAGTAACGAAAAAGGTTATCAAATTTACATAGTTAACATATTTTGTTTCATATCTATCTTGTTCCACTATAAATATATAATTTTGAAACTCATCGGTTGAATGATGGTAATGTCTTCAAACTTTTAAAAATATAAGTTTCAAAAAATATTTTACATTTAATTGAATTTTTGAATTAAAAAAATTGAATTAATTAAATCTTGAATTGAGAAATTAAATCAATTATGTTCTTTGATCAATTTTAATTGTATAATTTTTTTCAAAAATATTATTATTATATGATTTATTACGATATTAACAAGTCCATAAATCTTTTTAAGAAAAACAACGATTATCAAATTTTAAAAAATGTTCAAAATATTAAAATTTATACATATTTAAAAATCACTTAAAACTATGTGATGTGACATGTGATAGTAAATGATAAAAAATAATTTAAAAATCGATATTGATTAAAAGGATAAATTAATAAAATTTTAAAATTATTTTATTTTATAAGTACTAAAAAAATTATCCTTATCTCGTTTCGTCCTACATTCATTTGTTTATAATACTTTTATTTTAAAATAAATAAGATAAATTCATTTTTCAAAAAAAAAGTATAATTATCTAAAAGTTATTATTTAATACATGTGTAAAATTCTATTTTACATAATTTACCAATTTTAATCTCAATTTTTTAATCTAAAATCCTACATCTAAATATAACATTTTAAACTCTAAATCTAAATCTTAAATTTTAATTAAAAAATAATCAAATTTAAACCCTAAATTGAATAAAAAAACCCAGAAATAAATTAACACTTGTCTAATAATAAGATACTATAAAACAAAAAAAATAGAATTATTTTGTAAAGGTGTGTTTTATATTTTACGATTTAAATAGTTACACGTGTATAGAAGTGAAAATTTTCATACAATGACCGTGTCCGGTGCAGCTCGCTTTAATTGGGAATGCTTTTTTGGAATCCCTATTTTCACATAGAATGATAGAGAAAAGCAAGAGGACCATGAGGAGCAATGCAGCTGAACCATAGAGTAACAATTCAAGGAGAAGCTTAAGTTAACGTGTTGGAGGCTCTCTACTTTACACTTCGCATCAATTCCCTGAATAAGTAGAGTAGAGAGAATGCTTTTGTACTTATTATATAGAAAATTGTTTCTTTGTTCTTCTCTCTTTTGACGCTCGCTAAAGCGTTTTTGAGTCTGAATCCAAATTTCCACCGAAAGATTAGATTGGGGCTTTCACTCGATTCTCCATGGAAAGAATCAGAAGAGCTTCTCATGCAGGATCTTGATACACTGATAACCTTAAGTCCTTTAAATGCTCCTTTGCTCCTCCAAACCAGTAACGATTTTCGTAATTAATTCCGATTCATGCTTTTTGCTTTCCATTTTGCGAATGATCAGGTTGAGGCAATTTTTTTTTGTTAATTTCGAGAAAATTAACCAATGAGGATTGAGGAGCTAAGCTAAGTAATTTCGAAGATTCAATTAAGATAATGTTATTTCTGGAGTGAATTTGTCTTCTGTTAAGTAAAGCTGGAAGAAAATTCTTTTAATAATTTAAGTGTTGAATTACAATATTTATTATTCATTGAACTGATCTTAAGTTGAAAACTTTGATGGTTTCAACTCGTACTAGAAGGCTTTAGGTAATTCATTATTCATGCCTTAGGTGTGAGTTATTTCCTTTGTAATTCAAACTTCTAATGAATATATAGTGAAATAGTTTTTATTATATTTGAGAATTTAATTAACAAAATATCTTAGGACTGTCGTGCTTTTATATATATTTACATATGTAAATATATGCAATTTTCTCAGCAAAAGAACTAGCGGAAGAGCTCGATGGATGGCTTACGGCGGCTGGCTTGCCTAAATCTTCTGATGTAAGAGGTGTAATTGCTCTGTAAGTTGTTATGTCCCCGTGTTGTTTGTTTCTTTCATATCATTAATTGATGTTTTAATGCATTCTCTCGTCTCTGGTTTGATGGTGGCTCGGGAAATACAGGCATGCAGGTTATTCATATTCTGGACGTGCTGCTGCGTAGGCTTTTGGAAATATAGACCCAGCGGACATGTGCGCCTTTCCTTATACTTCTCCTCTTTGATTGTTATAGTTAATATCATATATTGTATCTCCATTCTCAGTAAATATGCTCTTCTTTAATCATTAATCTTATCATGAGCCAAGTTTTGTTCAGATGTTTTGTACGGACTATGTGAAGATTGTAATGTTTGAGCTAAAACGTAGTACTTCATCTGCTTCATTTGTTATTAAAATTGTCTGGTGTTCAAGAAAATCTACAAGCGCAGTTCTCGGATCGTAACATCCTCAATACCGGGTTAGCGACTAAATTGTAAAGTCTCAGAATTTGGTGGTTAAAATAAAATGAATGAATAGTATAAAGATTTACATGTAAATTATTGTGTAGGATGGAATTAAAAGGAAGAAGGAATGAAAGGACAATAGAGTAATTGCAAGGAAAAATAATTAAAGAAAGTATAAGTATAGATATAAGGATACACGTGGGTGGAAGGGGAGAAAACACCCAAGGCTTCCAGAGTTCTCTTCTTCTTCTTTCTTCCTTGTGCGTGTGAACCAAAGCAAATGTAAGATTTCTGATTATTGAGTTTCTTGTTAAATTTAATATTGGGTTTTGATTATTAGATGATAACTAAGCTTAAGGAAAGCTTAAGTTATCTTAACATCAAAGGATGATGGAGTTAGGAGAGATTTAAGATTTGAAGTTCTTAAATGAAATCTTGGAATAGAGTTCATAACTAGAATTGAAAGTTAAATTTGACTTATCATCAATCTAGTTAAGATATACGAAGTGTTAAAAGCGGAATTCAAACATGTTGAATTATTGATGTAATTCTTGAATTACATATGAAGGATAGGATTTGAAGGTTTAAGATGAAATAAATGAGTATAAATTGGTTTAAGGATGTATACTATAGTTAAGAATGAAAAAGAGGATTAAACATGAAGGATTTAATCCAAAATGAATGAATTTTCGGGTTCAAAAAGAGGATTCTGGGCAGAGTGCATCGATGCATATTCAGAGTGCATCGATGCATATTCATAGTGCATCGATGCATCAAGGTTAAAACCCAGAAAGTGTTTGAAGGTGTATCGATGCACAGGTAGTGCATCAATGCACTCTTTTAAAATAAAAAGATCGAATGCAATTAGTGCATTGATGCATAAGGCATGCATCGATGCATCCCATTAATAATAAAACATCGAATGCATTTTATGCACCGATGCACAAGTAGTGCATCGATGCATACCTTCATTAAAAGAGGAAATTGGCATTTATCTTAATCTAAAGAGTGAACCATTAGAGTATATTAGCTATAATACTGATATAGATCCATGTGTGATTATGTAGATACTAAAAGTAAGCTTATTCCGGAATAATCAAAGGATTAGAATCGAATCAAAGCAAAGCTAAGGTGAGTGCATACTATATGTATAGTATAATGGAATAAGACTTGTGATAAGTCTAATTTTTATATTGATTTTCATAGTACAATAATTGTGAACATGCATACATGATAATTATTGTAATACATGCATAAGGCATATATATATGTTCACATGATTGGATAAATGATGTATATATATATATGAATAGATGCAAATACACATGTGATATGATATGTGATATGAGAACATGACATGAGCTACATGATCACAAGAGAAATGACATGAGTACATGAACATATAAAATATAAGAATAATGCCTATAGTATACGATATGAGAGTTATAGGTGTAATTGGCATGCCAATAGTCGAGGGTATAATAGTCCTTCGGGACGTAGTCCTTCGGGATGTAGTGGTCCTACGGGACATAGGGGTCCTACGGGACATATATGACAGTCCTTCGGGACGAATACTAAACTAAGGTTCAGTGCCCCATGAGGGAATTGATACGAGCTGTGGTGACAGCATTAGTGCACAACCTCTATGTACTCACATAACTCTATTCTCAATAATATACATGGGCAATTGAAAGACAAAGTAAAGTGAAAGTGGTACAAGAAGGTAAGTCTTGTACATACATAATATGATTATATATGTTATTGTGTAATAGATACATGCATATTGAAATGTCATGAAGGAAATGGTAAGAATGCATATTCATGAAGA